GTAGGCTCAGGGTCAGGTGTGGTACATTTGGGTACTCTTTAGTGACTTTTTGCCCTTCTTGACTATACATTAGGCTTTCTACCTCTTTTTGCCCTATTTTTGACATCCTACCTTTTTCTCCTCTTTCCCTTGATTCTTTTCCATCATTGATGTGACTTTCGACTTTGTAGCTCTTTTATTTTTTACTTTTCTTCTTTTTCTTGCTTTTTCTTCTTTTCTTTAGTTTTGCTCACTTTCTTTCGCACAAAGTCGCATCTTTTTTTTTCTTTTTCAACACCAAACTCTTTTCATACCCATTTTTCATTAGATTTCCCCTTTCATAGCCACCTTCAACTTAAGGAATTTCCGTTAGTTGAGGTGCACAATATCCGATGTCGGATCAGGGCCAAGATTGAGGTCACTTTTTGCATTAGTCACCCTCAACTTAGGCCAGTTGAGGTGCACATGTCCAAGGAGGGACCGGGCAATAGATTATGGGAAGGTGAGTTACGGGTTTAGAAAGAAATGGTCTCTTTTAGGCTCAAAGCATTTGGATCAACGGGAGCATTCATTTTCATTTGGTCGGATTCTTTTAGGCATTTAGTGGACTATTCAGAACAATGACATATGATCACTTCCTAGCCTCTAGAGTAGATTATCTTCGCAGGACTAACCGGGCAAGTTCTAGATTGGCACCACTTGTTTGAACAACCAACGATTCTCGCACACTCTTGGCACACAGTTCCATTATCAGATTATCAGATTACCCAGTTCATGTTTTTAGCTTAAGTCATGAAATCAAATTTGTCATTATCATGTCATACTTAAAGCCAACACATTCAACTTATTCTAGTCTACAACTTTTAGTACACATTTCAATATCTTTGGACGGGTATCATTTTTTAACAAGCTCATGCCATCATGATTATGCTATCATTCTTTCTCATGCTTCTACGTAGGGGTGTTCACATGTCGGTTTGGATTGGTTATTGGTCAAAATCAAAACCAAACCAACTTAATCGATTTTAAAATTATCAAAACCAAACCAAACCAAATATAATATACATTTATCGATTTGGTGGTTATCGGTTTCGGTTTGGTTTGGTTCGGTTATTAACCATACACAAAAATAAAAGGAACAATTCATTCAAAATGTGAAAAAGTGACAACAATCCATTCAAAACGAAAAATAGTTAGAATGACTTAAATTACTGAA